TAGAGAACAATTCCAGCCCGTCCTACCATCCACTGGAGAAGGAGCTGGAGAAGGCAGGCCTGAGCCAGCAAGGGTGCTGACCTCTCACTGCCCACCGGCAACGCTCGCAGCCTCGCGAAAGGCACGTCGGGCCGGAGATCAGCCGCACGCGTCTCACCTCGACGGCGTTTACCTGTGTGTCATTCGAGGTGACCGCGCTCTGCCCCATTTGTCTACAGAGCTCCGCAAAATCTGACAGAAGCCAACCACAGGCCTCTTCAGCTTCTCCTTTTCAACCAGGTGCTTCCATGCCCGTAGCATCCCGTCAGAACAATACCGTAACGCGTTACTGAAGTACTGTCAGCCCTGTAGCTGGTTGCCCTCGTTAGGGCTCCTAAGCTCTCTTGGTTAAAGAAACTTCCTGTGAAATTACTGAACCTGGGGAGAAGTCACCCACCTTCCTTATCATTAAGATGCGCAGCAGAAATAGCAACTCCACCACAGCCGTCAGCGGGCAGCACGGCCTCTGCGTGCAAAAGAACCCAAGAGACCGCGTCTCCTGACTGCCCGAGGACGCCTTACGCTACCCCGCCGACAACAGGAGAAGCGTTCCTGCCTCCTGAGGAAGCCTGCAGAGAAGGTGTAACCAAAAACCCAAGGATTAGATTCAGGCAAGTGTTGCGGAAGGATGTTCTGAAATGAAACTCCCTCTTGTGGAAGCTACTCTGCTCACACAAACCACCCCCGGCAGAAGGAAAAGGCAGGTGGGCACCAACAGACCCCACCTCTGCCTCAGCTCGCACCGACCACCCAGGTTTTCCAACTGCAACTTCCAAGTGCTGCGGGTCGGGCTCTCGGCCCGTCGTACCCGACTGCAAGGCTGAGCCACGGTCACTGAGCTCCAGCACGGGGGCTCTGGAGCAGAGCTGGGTGTCGACGCTGTGAGGATCCCTGCGTCACGCAGCGTCTCACCTGCAGAATCGCCTTGTGGGTTCTGCAGGGACCTGCCAACACTCACCTCTGTCGCTTTAGGAAGGAAATCCACTGGCAAAACACCACTGTGTTACCGTGGAGGTGACACAGACCTTGCAAACCTCAAGCCGAGCCACGCAAACACCCCCGAAAAGCCCCGAAACGCAGCAGGGCAGTGCGTTCCCTTGCGGCCTCGTTATCCGTGGAGTGATGAGCACAGAGAGCGCTGCGGGCACTCGCTCTGCTGCCGCCGGGAGCCAGCAGCGCCCACGGGCACATACGGAGAACACGGCAACAGGGACGCCTTCGGATCTGCATGCCCTGTCCTGCCACTCACTCACACACCCAGGAAGGCAGAATAAGGAGGGCGTTTTATTTGAAAACATCAGGACAACAGCTCAAAAGAAAAGAGAGTTGAAAGTCCTGTGTGGAGTGGTTTTTAGACTCCAGTGAAACCTTGAGGTAGTGCTCAACGTCCCTGGAAATCTGGAGAGGCGCAAGAAACCGCGGATCAGTGCCTAAGA